ACTCTTGATAAGCCTTCAGAAATTCACAAATAAAGGAGGAATTCTGAGGCCACCTGGAAGAGAGGAAACACCCAAGTTCAAAATCCCATTCACCCTCTCTGGTCCTTAGTTTCCTCATCTGTGAAATGGGGATAGTAATACCCAACTACAGGATTAGGTGAGGGAGTAAGTGAAATTGGGGGTGAGATCTCTGATCCTGGTAGACTCTTAGCAACATCAGGCCCCTTGCCTCATGTGGGCTCGCCCTGCCTTCAAATCTCAGGTTTATCCTGGCTGTAAACAGACCACTCTGGCTCTATTACCCCCAAAGCAGAACAAAGAATAGAAGAATCAATACAGGCTGATATGGTGGCTCACACCTGTAATCTTAGCACTCTGGGAGGCCGAGGCGGGTGGATTGCTTAAGCTCATGAGTTCAAGACCAGACTGAGCAAAAAGCAAGACCCTATCTCTACTAAAAATAGAAAAACTAAAAGCAGAGTATGAACGTTTTAACTCAATAACTAAGAAAATGACATGAAGGTTATCTTAATCAGTTTGATGAGAGTATTTCAAAATGTATATGAAAACAGCACACTGTACCCCATGATTGCATTAATATACACAGTTATGCTATAAGAAATAAAAAAATTTAAAAAAAAATAGAAAAACTGAGGCAAGAGGATTGCTTGAGCCCTAGGATGTTGTGAGTTATGATGCCACAGCACTCTACCTAGGGCAACAGCTTGAGACTCTGTTCCCCCCACCCCCAAAAAAGGAATAACCAATGTGTGTGAGGGATGGTTGAATTAATCCATTTGAAATGTGCTCTGCATATTATAAGAACTCATTAAATAATCATTATCATTAGACAGAGATATAGGGAAATTCCAACATTTTTCTCACAACTTTTGTTCCAAGCACTAACTCCCTCTTTGTTAGTAACTGTGATTATGCTTTGTAAGATTTTGCCAGACTTCCTCCAAAGTCACAAATCTGAGAGAGGGGGAAAGACATCAGCCTAAAACTGCATGGTGACGTCCCAGGGTAGAGAACAGGTAATTCCAAGCATCCAACAGGGGAAAGGAGGAGCCTTGAATCTGTGTCAGTATGTCAGTTTTTTGTTT